AGGGCAGAGGAGTGGAAGGAAACCTGCAGCTGTTGGGAGTGGGAGATGCAGCTTGTTTTGGGGTTGCAGCTGAGGAAGGACAGAGAGGAGGGTCACACATAGATTTAAATCATCTGGGGTTGCAACTGAGGAAGGACAGAAAGGAGGGTCACACATAGATTTAAATCATAACATTCTGTGTGTTGTGTCCACTGTGGAGGAGCACTGAATGTGGCTGTTCCTCCTGTACTGATGGATTTCTTTTGTCTGAACACTGTACAATGCAGGTGAAACAAGAACCATTTTACATCCCAGAAATGGAAGCCAAAGAACTGTAACTAAAAGAGAGCGGGCAGAGTGGAGTTGGTAGAAATGACACATGAAACCAGGGCAAAGTTTAAGGGTCAGAATTAGCAAGATGTATTCTAGGAAAAGATTAGGAACACAAATCAGCAGAAACTTAGTTACTAGGCTGGGAATGGGGTTAAAATATCTCCACCTAATAAGCCAAGCACTGAAGCATCCCCTGTGGCTTTTCTTTTTTAGCTTCTACAATAGATTCAGAAAGAGATCAAAGTCATAACATCATCATCAACAAATTTTTTTTTAAGCCATAGGATTACTGCTGCTTTTGATGAAATCCTTGAAAGTGGGGACAGAACTGTTGTCACGTTTTTGAAGACCCCTCAGCTGCACTGGTGGGGACAATATGTTTGGATGAAGTGGAGGAAAGCTGCCTGCTGACTTCTATTATTCCTTTCCTAAGAATGGTAAAAGAGCATCCTAGAAAAGCTTTCTTTTGGGAAAGCTTTCTTTTCTTTTGGGAAAGAAAGCATAAAACCACAGCATAAAATAAATCTTAAGTAGAGGCATTGTAGCTGTTGGAGTGCTGTGTACTGAGAAGGAAATCCAGGACAGGTACCTCACTTTATGTACAGTGCTGGTTTATACATGGAGCCATCTAATCAGATGTATATGTCCTTTAATTAAGGTCTCATGTACAGTGTAGTAGTACTGAGGGAATATGATGAAAAGAGATGGGAAAGTGCTTTATTTACTGTGCTGAGAAGCCTTTATCATATGGAAATGATCAGAATTTAAATTTCTATCATCTGTCACAATTTGCTGCTGCTTTAATTAAAATAACACCAAGGATGTGTACAGTGAGTCTGGCTAGATGTGCTTCGTGCTCCTAATGACTGTCAGATGGGGAGGCAAAGGGGTACAGAGAGGGCAAGGCTGCGGGAAGATCCGGAGGGACGTGGTGCCAGATGGCCAGGCTTATTTTATTAATTTACATCTCCATTATGGCTCTTCTTTTCTTCATTTCTCCAAAGGATGAGTTAGTTTAATAGGAATCATTTCACAGCCACAGTATGACGTGTTTAACTCTTTGGAGCTCGTAGCATTTTAGCCAAGTCTGTGTGCCAGTTGTGTCCTGTTGGTGGTCACCTCTGCCAGGCTGAGCTCCAGCCCAGCTGCTTAGCCCACAGCTCCTCTCTCTCAGGTAATTTGTTGAATCCTGCTGTCCTAAAACAATTTCAGCTTCTGATCATGGCATCAAAGTAGTGCCAAGGCAGCAGTTTGAGCTGTTTCTCTCCTATTACAGCCTGACTTGCTCAGGGCACACACTGCCAGACTGTCAGTGCTGCTGGGCATCACCACCTGTTTGGGGCTGATCTTTCACACCTGCAAAACCTTCCTGTTAGCAGCAAATAGCCTCACTCTTCTTCTTCCAGCTCTTGGGTGCCTGGACACTCAGAAAAGCACAGAGAAGTACTGAGGAAAGTGAGTTTAAAAGATTTTTTCCCCTCCACTCTTCGGCTTTGTGTTCCTGCGGGTTCTGCCGCCTCCCGGTGGCTCCTGCGGAAAGCTGCACACAGCTGGAGGCGATGGCTTTGGATATTGGATTTAGGGTAAGAGATGGAAAATGGAATATCATCATCTAAAAATCTCTTTGGCACAGTCTAAAGCAAGAAACTGCTGATGCGTCCGCATGCGGAGAGGTTTTTTATTTCTTCCCTTTCTATGTCCACTGTGATAACAAAGGAGCTTCAGTTTGTCAGGTCTTCTGCAGTGGTTATTGGATTGGTGTTAGCGACAAAATGAGCTTGTCTTGTGTGATTCAGTGAAAAAAAACAAGTGAAGAATTTCTAGATCCTGAATATGTATCCTCTATACAAAAATGTTCAGCAATTCACTTCATGAGTTCATTCAGAAATCTGTATCATGTTTAGGTCATTCTTGGATTCCAGTGGAGTAGTTAGACTTCTTTTGATCACAAATGTATAGCAGAACAAATGAGAAGATATGTTTCAACATACTGTGAATTTAATGACATGTGCAGAAAAAACCTTCTGAATTCACCCCCAAAATTTCTGGTACACCATGACAAAAAAAAGGCCCCACAAACCAGCTCAAAATATTGTGCCTTGTAGAGGATGAAACTTGGCATGATAGCAAAGGGAATAAGGCATAACATTTTCAGGATTCTGAGTTAATAACTGGACTTTTGAACATCTGTATCAGTCATTTTCAAGTTATCTTGTATTGGGATTTTTAGATTCTTTTTCCAAACGATGTGAATTTGTAATGGTTTGCAACTGCATCCCCAAGAATGTCACAGGTGTAGGAAAACTGCAAGTTGTCAGCCCAAGGCTGACAGTAACGTAACTGTCGATAGCAAAGTCATTTACACTGTCACCTCTGCTGGATATACAGCGTTCAGCTCTGTGCCAATGGCAAAGCTTGTGCTTGGCTGAGGAGGAAGGTGAAGACAAGAGGTGGTGATGCCTGGGAGAAATCAGTAAGTTTCTGGAGGCTCTGTGGGATGATGAGGAAATAAGAGATATCGTAGTCATTGAGCGATGAGTCAGTGTGTCAGTGAGAATCCAGAGAAATGCAGAGTTGAGCTGTCAGTGACTGCTGAGCACACCAACACGTGCTGCCTGTAAAAGCTGGGACCAGCTGCAGGGCTGGAGCTGCTCAGGTCTGCACACCCCTTTGCACTGCTCTCTTCTTCCACTCTCTCTTGAGAGCATCACCAGCAGCTTTGCTGGTCACACTTACTGTTATAAAGGATTGAAGTAACCCCCAAACTCACCCATCAGTGGGAAGGTCTCAGTCTGTAGGGCAGTGTGGGAATAGCACTGTGACTGCCAGCTCAGCAGCCTGGGATAGAGATGGCTAGGTTGGTGGAGCATGGCATTCTGCTTCAGATTATTCTTATGCTGTGTATTAAATATCAGGTAAAATATGAGATGAGATTAGATTAAAATCTCAAAACTAATCAGAATTTGTCAGGCTCTCAAAATTAAGTCTTTGGGCACTGAAAAGATGCATATTTTAGGAAAGATGCATAAAATTTAGAGATGATGCATGAATTTGACAAGGATCTCAAATTGTGTTATGGTTTTTGTGTTTGGTTTTTTTTTTTCCCAAAGCTTGTCCAGACTTTTGAAGCTTTGTTGTAATTTCAGACCTTCTGACAGGTCCCAACTTTCCTTGCTAGACTGACAGCAAGCAAATATTGCCAGTCCTTCCTTACTCCATCCCTAGCACTCCAAAATTGCCTGGGTATTTTCTGGTTGTTCTGTTAAAATAATTTTACAAATGATTTTTATCCTGCCTTTGCCCAGTGCTTGAGTCTTGTGTTACTGCTTCTATTTTACTCTT